GCAAAGTAAAAATTTACTTTGCATCTGGAAATATTCAAAATGTTTTAACATATTGAACCATCACATTATCCATATAATTCAAACAACATCACTTTATCATATAAATAACCAAAAATTATTTCATTATGTGATTTCAGCATTTGACTGGAACCACTCCCAAATTATCATAACTTTTTAACATTCTATTCATTGCATCTATGTGCATGACAAAGGTAAAAGTAACTGGTTTAAATTTCGTCAAGTTTTTAACAAAAATTCTCGTCATACGATTTCTGCTGACGTCTTAGCGTGAACAATTTATACATTAGTATCAAACCTTCAAATACCAGCGTAGAAATCGTGCATTCCTTGCACGAGGCCATTTACTTCAAGCAATACGTCAAATGACCGTGTTCCTCTACACACCGTCCAAAGAATCATCAAATCAAAATTAAATAACACCAGATTCACGTACTTTAACGTTTTATTGAGCTGTAAGTCTTTTAAAGAACACAATATGTTTGGTTTTATGCCAAGATTTTCAACCAAATATAAAGAGACTGATGTCTTTTATGAAAAAATGTGGAATATCGATTTTATGTCATTTATAGTTTGCTTTTACTTTCCGAGTACTCGTTATTGAGAGGCGTTTGAGAGATTTAATGATGTGTACACAGCGCTTATGTATTGAAAGAGCTGCATAATTCAAGCGCTACCCACTTAATGCGCTCTACATTCCATAACTAAACAGAAATGCAATGTATATCGCAATCAAGAACCGGTTTATTCAAAGAGAAACGTATATGAATGTCTAGAGAAGAATCCCTACTCTCTCTATCGGCCGGAAATCAGACGAACACGCAGACGCAATCGTTCCCTGCATCAAACCCACCGAGATAAATACGATTATGTCTGTAAAGTTGAAGAAGATCAAAGATGTCGTAACTCAGTCCTTCTGATGAACTAAACAGCGTTGCATGACTCGCTGTGTCCATTTGTTATGTCACACCCAACTCAGCCACGCCCAGGACATTAGGCACTCCGGCCACGCAATGAAGAATAAAGTTCACCGGAAGAAACTTTTGAAACCATTATTATCTTGGCACCATCAACAGAATGACACGGGTGGTAAGTAAACTTTCTTTTTCAGAATTGACTCGATTATTTTTGGCGTTAATTAAAAAATAATAATTAAAAAAATTGTGACATAAATGACAAGAATAAACTCATTTCAACGTAAAGCTGCGCTTGACGTTCTTTACATGGAATAATTAGATTTCTTTCCTATGAAATCATTATACAATCTCTCCGAAAAAAGAAATGCAACTGAAGAGAAACGAAATGATCTTCTCCTCCAAATATCAGAAAGTGATGAATATTGAATACTCGTAACAATATAAAAAATATCTAAAGTAAAGTTATTGTGTATAGTTACTACCGTTTTCTAACTGCATATAAAAAGTCATCCTTGAAGACATTTTCCCGGTAATTTTCCTACATAATCTATATAAATTACTATAATAATATAAAAATAAAATATATGTTTTGTTTGTTTTATCTTGAAAAGAAGGGGCTAGGAGTATGATATATTTTCTAAACGCATTGTAGAAACATATTTGGAACGTAGGTGTTATTACTGTCTTTGATTCAATGTTTCTTAAATGAATGTTAAAATCATTGATGTTTGCTATATTTCATTATTACATTTGACAAATGTAAATTATAAGCGTTCTGTAAGTTTGATAAACTATACCAAGTTACTGGAATTTATTTTGAATCGAAAAATGTTACTTAACAACATACCTAAGATACAAATTAAAAATAAGAAAACACAACCTGAACATTTTCATATATTCTGTAAGAATTCCACACTTCTAGGAAATTGTCGAAATGCTTTGAATGACACGATACATAATTTATAAATAGGGCAAATCACTGTCAAAAAGACATCGCAATTTATTATTTTCTTATAAGATAAAGCAAATTTGGTATCCAAAGATTGTAAACAGAACGAAATCCCGTAAATAATTTCTTAACGTCTCTAATTAACCTTCTTTGTTTGACCTCCATTAACGCTGAAGTCTGAACGAGGTTCAGAAATTCCGAGTTGAAGTTCCTTACGATTTCTGCATGAAAAGTTCTCTTTTACTGTGTGAGAAACAAATTATCTGCTACATGTGCTCATTAGATCAAACAAATTCTGCAGCATATGCACGTACACTACATGATTATTACGGTAAGTTTTCTAATATTAAAATAAAATGACTTATTTTTAGATATTTAGAATTATTTTTACTTTTACCAAGAATTCTTGAGAACATTGATTATTTTAAACAAAAATATTTTTTATCAAATCTCAAATTTATGAAAAAATAATTTTGTTGCTATTATAAACTTGTGAACTCTTATTCATCAAGGGTCAAACAGAAGGGTTTCAACTTGTATGAAGTTTGAAATCAACATGAAAACATTAAGTGTGATAGTGGGTCACATTTTTGTTAGTGTTTGGGCTATTTTTTTGCAATATTCTGACAAAATGAGGTTCTAGTATGAAATAATAAGAGTAATGAAATAATAATAATAGTAGTTTAATGTAACCAAATATTTAGTAATTTGAATTGATCAATACAGAAACAGTTTGATATAAAAGTGCAATGATTTGTTAAAAAATGCTTTCTTTAGTTCTTGTTCGGCCAAAAGGCCTTTCAAGATATTGAATACAATGATCACTAACATTCACTTTATGGTTTTGTCACCATTACTCGCTGCTAACTCACTTACACCGTCATTAATATTGATAATCTAAGATAACGAATTAAACTTTTAAAGAAACGCATAATAAACAAAATTATAGCCAAAACAATTGTCTACAGCAAAAATTAGTGAATTTTGAAAAATAGCACCCAACGATATCTGTTCATTTAAGTTAATACTTTATTAATGACAAAATAAAGAAGTAGTCTAGAAACAAACTGAAATTAACAACTTAGTCAAAACAAAACTTGGAAATGGTCAATTTAGTAGGATTACTGTTCGATCAGTTTCGTCTACCACTGAACATCTACCAATCTTCAGTTCATAATCTCAAAATATGCAGCAAGTAAGAATCTACAAGTCGAATTCTGTACTGATTTTTAATTTTTTCATACAATAAAACACACTTTCAAACGAATACAGGTCCCCAAACAAAGTTATTTTTCGTCCAAAATGCACTAAGTATTGGTATTTTTTGCGACAAGTTTAACAGCGGTGGTATCTTTTCTTGTTTCGTTCTTAGGAACGTATCGGCTTGTAAATCTCGCAGCTTAAGTTTTAGGTGATCTTGTTTCTCGAACGAATAGCTCTTGACTATTAATTATTACTTTATTGCCACCGCTTACGCGGTAGAGAGAAAGGTACGTATATAATGCTGCGCGAAAAGCGGTGGATTTTCGGCAAAAAATTCTTATTTCAGGGCTCTGGTAACAAAAAAGGGAATAAATCCAATTGCAAAGTTTAGACAAAAATCCCCTAACACGTGGTGTAGATAGAATACATGTTTAGCGGCTTTTTGATACCGAAAAATGTAAATGGCTGCAAAACGTTGGTCAGTGCGTCCGTCCGTATGTCTGTCTGTCATTTTTAACGTCATCTAAACTATTGGGGACAAAATAAAGCACAGATTATTTCGTAATACACTGTTATTATTGTTTATGTATTGATTATTACACTAGTCTACAAAAAACTGTTTAATATTGACGAAAATTCACATTTACCATACTGAAGTTGATGCTGTGATTCCATATCATGAGTTATACTATGTTAACACATCACATTTTTTTATTACCGCATTGTGAAAGGAGGTTTGATTTTTGTTCAGTCTAGTATACCAGTAGAGTAAAGCCAAAAATAAATTAAACTCGGTTAAGTTTTTTGCAAATTTTTATATCAATTTATATTTTAAAAATATTAAGAATGATATACGTTTGTGTACAATATATACTAAGTTCATGAAACTTTTTTAAAAGTGCTGAAAACATTAGCTTTTCCGATTATATTGTCTTACGGTTGATCTTTGAAGAAACGAGTGGAAATCTCCTATCATGCTGGCTCCTTAATGTCCTTGGTATCTGGATTCCATTGTCAATATATCCTGATGGAAACTCTCACCATTCTGATCTCTGACAGTGCGATGGTAATGCAGAAAACGTAATTTTAGAGACTTGTGACAATCTGAGATTCTCATATGCACTAATGTTATGTACTTGTTCTGCATAATTATTTGCTCAACAATTTCCCAAAACCTTGGTTGTCACAAGTATAAACGTGTTCAAGCTTCTAAATTGTAAAGGATTAAGGTTTGTTCTGTATGTTGTGACACATCAACTGTCATATTTCCGGCCACCCAAAAATTCCTGTCTTTAATTTTGCATTTTTTTCATTCTCCCAAACTTCGGAATCTGAAGTACTAACATTCTGCACATACTCTTCCTGAGAAATGTCACTTTTAAGAGTAAAGGTTTCGGGATTCGGTTTCGAATTTTTCTTTTTTATACTGATTTGAAGTGATTGTCATTAATTTTATTTATAAACGGAATGTATTAAAATAAAAGTTACAAACTTGTAGGCGAGTAGAGGGTTTGAAAACGATCACTTTTTGGAAATGAATATGTAGTAGTATATTTCATATAAAGGAATTACAAATGTCCTTGAATGTTAGGCTACTCCGTATTCACAGGTTTTTGACAGATAATTGAAATATTATTGCCTGCAACAGAATTTGACCTGCAAGAAGCACATGAGTGCATAAGGAGTTGCCTAACAACCAGGAGCAAATTTCACATGTGTAACTAACTCAGATATAAGGAATTTCCTACTACATGTTCATGTACAAAATGTGATAAGTTTCAACCCCTTAACATACATTAGAAGTTTGTAACATTCATTTGGAGGGACCTGCAGATTAATTTTGTTTCGCATCCGCCATATTGTGAGCCACCGCACCGCACCGCAGTGCTGGTGGCTCGCAGCGGGTGGCTCGCATGTGTGGTCAGGTGGTGTCGTCGGTGGGGCAGAAGGGCGGCGAAGCGCCCGAGAGCTACCTGGCACTGTTCGCGTGGCTGGCCCAAGGGTTGGGGGCGTGGCCGCGAGAGGGCGGGCGCCTGCCGCCGGCCAGCCTGGTCATCGTGCCAGCGCACCTCTTCTTCTTCACGCTTTCGGCCTTCGAGGTGAACCACAACTGGGGCGACCTTGAGGTACGCCGCAGCTGCTCTCAGCACTAAGACCCATCATTAGTTTCACGCTTACACTAAACGCACTACACAAGCACACCGCCGGGAGACCGGTTGGGAGTTTAGAGCTTGTCCCGAATGGGGCGGTGCCCCGCTGGTGGGAGATTCCTGTTTGAGGAACATCCCGCTAGCCAACAGTAGGCCGGGACCGGATCATGTCATACAGCGAGGAAAATATTATCGCCACCGAGCAAAAACGTGTACTACAATTATGTAACTAATGACTCTGTTAGTTGACGTGCCCGGAATCAGTAAAACCCATCAAGCCCAAATCAATCAAACCCATCTTTCTTTACAGCAATGACCTCGTACTAGTTTAACTCAGTACTGCTGACTCTGCAGTGACTCTGACCCGACGATCTTAGAGTGTGAGAGCCGACGGTGGCGGATTGTTGATATTTTGCACATAACTAGGTCAAATTCAGTCACTGGATATTTTAGAAGTCGACTGCTCTGATCAGTAGTTGTCCATGGTTTCTTCCAGCAGTACCTGGTGAATGCCAGGGCGGTACCCTCCCAAATGGACCATGGACGGTGGATGATCTTTCCTTCCTCTTATCTATGCTTTCCTTACCTATTTTACACACGAGTATACTTATGGGAAGCATAGATTCCCGTAGAAAGTGTTTTGATAATTTTTTGACTTCGTCATAACATATTATCGGAACATTATGAACGAGATTCGATGCGCTATTTTAGACTCGGGATGTCATTTGTGAAATTGGTGGATAGTGAATGCATTTAACTCTGCCAGCTGGTGGACTCAGGTTCTGACAACCTAAACGTGATCACAAAAGGAGGGATGAGAGTGATACAGGCTATAATAATTAGCACCTCAATTTTGTCAATTATTATTTTTTTGTATCCAAAAAAGTATATTTTCTTCGGTAATACTTACAACTAACCAAAATGTCCTCAAACATTTGATTTTCAATAAGTACCGTTTTCTGGAGTTATAGAAGAATGAAATTCAAAATACTCCTGTGCAGAAAGTAGTTTCTCGGCAAAATGCTGTAAGAAATATTGTTCATCTGAACGACGAAAATACGGTAGTATTTTACCAAGTGAACTGTTTTTTTCTTTATTGGATAAAATGGCATTTTTCACGCCATCTCTTTTGCATTTCCTAGGTCATTATAAGACACATAGACACCCATTACATTAATTGTTCGAAAAGTTGTGAATGGAATAGTGGGTGGTAAATTTAAAAATGGGTTTATGGCATTCTTCTCACCCTAAGCAGGCCCATTCTCTTAGCACCAAGTAAAATGGTCAAATAAGCATATGTGTACATGACGTCTCAGAGTAAATGATGCAATCTTCTAGAACATATAGGACTTGAAGAGTATTACTTTTTTTCTTTCTTGCCTTATGAAGTACTTCGTGAGAAGAGAAATTTATGTAGTCGTTCTCAGGAAAACAGCAATTTTCCCGGAAATGCTACATTTGCCCCTGGTTGATAGGCAACTCATCATGCACCGATGTGTTACCGGTTCACGTCTTCATTCAAAGAGAATTTTCTTACCAATCCTCCTACGTGCTTTAGAATTTAGTAACGTGATCTCTGAGACGTATTCGTCCTGTAAAGAGATTAAATGTGGGAGAAGCAAATAACCTTCAATGGTGCAAAATGTCTTATTCGATTTCTGCTAATTCAAGACCTAGAATAAAATCATCCAAGACTTGCCTTCATGAGCGAACAACAAAATCAGTATTTACATGTAGTACGATCATCAAACTCTTCTGCGTAGTACTTTTCACTGTGGTTTCATAATTCTTTATTCTTTTGTTCTTTATTCAATGCATACATAATTTGTGGTCTAATATACAGTAATTGAGTGGTTTAAAGAATGTTAATTTTCGGTGTACAGTGTTTTCATGTGCGTCTAACTTAACAAGAAAATTATCTGTTCTCAAATCGAATTATCCCATATACAACAGTTGTGTTGGTCATTTACTGAGATATTATGAAATGTGAAGAATCAGAGTTAAGTAAAGAACCAATAAGTAAAAATGTGATACGTGGTAGAATTTAGGTTGGTGGCACCTGCTCAAGCGCCTATAATTGAAATCTCCTAATAAAACTAGTAAGATTTAAACATTTCTCACAATTTTTCTTTGCAACAAATATAACTACAAATATCAGTGAACCAGGGTTTTCTAAGTGCTGACATCAACTAGAAAATGAAACTCTGAAATCTAATTATTATGGCATTATTATTTTAATTCCTAACAAATGTGTTCTGACGTTGTTTAAAAGAAGCTTTAACAAAGTAAATTTCTGTCTTTGTCAGTACATTTCTTCCATATTGATTTATTTTAATGTTGAAAATATCTCATTATGTTATGTTGTGTAGCCAAAGGTTATCCTATATCCATTACATGACATGTTCTTCTTCACTCAATAACTTTGGGCATAACGAAATATACTATTCACGTGGTGATTTATTTTGACGTTTTCATTTCTTGTAAAGTTTCGTAACGTTAATTTTAATATTTTTTCTTCTTTTCCTGCAATTATTATTTTTTTTTTCTTTTTTTCAACTGTATGTATTCAATCGTACTTGACATGAGAGAAAATACAGCTCAGGAAGGATGAGGACATTAAAACTATGAATGAGCACCCTTTGAATCTACAAATCATTTCTCTGTGAATAAGGGAATATCAATTGTATTAATTTTTATGACCTATTCAGCAACAGGATGGTAAAAAACAGACAACATTTTTAGGCTTTGTTCTTTATTTTAAAAGTATTTCGACACATTGTTTTTTAAGACGAAATATCCTCTTCTTCACTGAAACCCACCACTTTCCTGAATTCTTTTGTTCGTGGCCAGGCGCTGACAGAGACGGCGCAGAACGTGTGCGTGTATATGGTGACGTTCCATAAGTGGCTCGTCATGTTCTACCACCACAACGACTACCGCAGCCTCATCCGTCGCCTGGATAAGAATTTCGACATGCCCGAGCAGCGAACAGACCCCGAGTATTCAGGTGGGGAACCTTCTTTAAGTAAATGTAGTTAGGTTTGAAACGTTAATTTTTTTTAAAAAATCATACGTACAACATCTGTTCGACACTATAGACCCAAATAATAAAATTGCAAAAAATCTAATTGTATCAGTTAACAAATCTTCACTCAGATACTTTCTCCTTCTCTAGAATGTAAATGAATTATCATATTAACGATTCCAAAATTAGCCTGTATATGAGTGGAGACTCGAAATGTTGAAAAGAGTCTGAGCAAAGACTCTTTTCAACATTAGTCTTTAGACAATAGATTAAATCGAAATGTTTTCTGTACCTGAATTATATGAGAACAAGTATCATCTATTCGTTTCATTTGGAAGATATAATTCCAACGTCTTTGACAATTTTGGTGAGAGGCTTCAGAAGCTATGAAATGTTATCAGAATTTTTTTAAATAAAATTGTTTGATTTCCCCGAAGTCATCATTCTTTTATCATTTTGTTTCGAACAGAAATTATCTCTCGCTGTGTTAAAGAGTTGCGAACACTAACTGTGGTGTGGACAATGATGGTTTTTGTGACTCTATCAAGCATGATGATAATTCCTTGGACGACTCAGTTGCTCAGTGGAGGAGGAAATTCTCCTGAAAACATGACGCTTTGGAACGAAACTATACCTCCAGATTCCGGGAGCTTCCCTTACCGCAACTGGACACCTTTTGACGAGTGAGTTTCGAAATAATATAAATAAAATATGGAAACTAATTAATAAACGTACCTCAACCCTTTACATTCTGCTCTTGATTTATTCCTATGTCAATTCTTGGTAGCGCAGACTTATATGTTGTAGTACTTGTGTTTTGCATTAAGGTAGGATATTGCTTTCATGAAAATTATTTTTTTTAATTTAATTCATAAAAACATTCTTTATATGTTTATACAACCTTCACGTAGCAGCAAGAAATTGTTGGTTTGCAGAAAAAACATTGGAATATGTATAATATGAGATGCTTCGATTGTGTTTTAACCTAAGGAGAATTCATATTGTTTGATAAAAGCTAAGTAGCCAAATAGACCCCCCTTACAGCTCTGTGGAAAACATACAATCTGTGTTGTAGTTCTTATAATTTAAGTGTAAATGGAGTGTACTCGATTAAGTTGAAATGATTCTAGACATAGAATAAATAACATACTTATGTGCCTTCCCTTTTGTCCACATGTCCCATACCAACCATCGAATTATTGAGAACATTTTAGTTTCTTTGTACATGAACGCCCTCTAAAACACCTCTTGTAGACTAGTTTCCTAAATCTACCAACGTCTGGCGGCCCTTTCGTCTCCTCCTCTGGACCTCCACCCTACAGATCCTTCCACGAGGTTTGTCGCGCAGCTGGCCGCAGCCGTACTACGCGCTGCTGTACCTGTACCACGTGTTCATGGGCGCGACGCTCATCTACATGATCCCGCTGTACGACCTGCTGTACTTCGCCTTCGTGCACCACGCGTGCGCGCAGTTCGCCGTGCTGCACCGCTCGCTGGAGGGGCTGCGCGCGCGGGCCGAGGCGGCGGGGGCGGCGGGGCCGGCGGCGCGGGAGGCGCACATGCGGCGATGCGTGGCCTCGTGCGCCCGCCACCACGACGCGCTGCACACGTGAGCGCACGCACCCCTCCCACGCCATCGACTTTTGCTTCTTCTTTAGATTTCTTCTTAATTTTCTACTGCCCCATTTTCTTTATTTTGTTGTTCACCGATTTATTTTCGTTTGATTATAGTTTTTTTTTTCATTTCCTTTTTCTTTTGCTTTTTGATTTTCATCTTCACCCTCCTCTCTTTCTTTCCACTTCTCTTCCTCTTCTTTTATTCTCCTTTTCTCTTTTCTACCGTCTTCTCTTTTCTTCTTTCATTTCTTTCATTTCTTTCTTCTCCATATTTATGTTCTTGATATTTTTCCGTTTTTTATGTCCTTTCTCTTTTATTCTTCTTACAAATCAAATAATTATTAAATTTTAATTAAACCTTCATCTATTGACTATTATAAACAGGTAATTTACTTTTATCTCAGCTTAAGTGTTTCCTTCGAACAGACATTACAGTGGGAAAGATTCTCGAAAACGGAAACATTTGGTTGGTTACAAGATTGATTCGAACTTAGTAATAACTAATAATAATGTGGTCGTGTGGCAGAGCAGATCTTTTAATTTGTGTCTCACTATCAATGAATATATCTTTGTTTTTATTATTATTACTATTGCCATTATTACTATTATTAATATAACAAATATTTATAATTTTTGGACAAAAAACTTGAGAGGCCAAACGTTTGAAGTAACCTCTTTGTTATTTAGTTCGACGAATCTAGGTATTTGTTGACCCTAAAAATAATTCACGTTTGTGAGATTCACCATAGAATACTCTTTTTTATAATAATATATTCAGAGTATCAAAAATAAGCACCTTAGACATTCTCTCTTCCCCAAAATATTGGTCGTTTTTAGTTATTAAGCACAACATGCCAACAGATCTTTTCAAGCCTTGACCAACGGTGAAATATTACTTCGTTCACCCGGACATTTTCACATGGGAGTGCACCTATGAGTGAATGAGAATTCCAGGTGGCACAAATTCATTGGTTTTAAATGCTTATCAGGTTCGTGGAAGGTGTGGAGTCCATTGTCAACCCTGTGTTTCTCAATCAATTTGTTGGTAGCTCCGTGCTATTCTGCATGACGGCTTTCCAACTAGCAGTTGTAAGTACGGATCAGTTCCACCGATTTTGTTGAAATTAATTCTGTTGAGTGGTATGAACTCTCTCTTCTCAGAACTCTACAGTTGATATGAAAATGATAACCATGGGGGCACTACTCGTCTCCGCCGTATTCGAACTGGGAATATTCTGCTTCTTTGGAAACCGTGTCATGGATGATGTAAGTACATTCCAAGTCGCGATAATTAAGTTCCTAGAATGGCAATCACACAATCACCATACTTTCTGAAATAAAAAATGGAAGTCACTTGTATTTTCAGAAATTACACCATCACTGGCCAGCAAGATTTGTGGCTCAGTCAAAAGAACACGGACGTTCTTGCTCTTGACAAACTCTCAAAGAATGTAGAAAGATGTTTGAAATGCAAACATTCAAAGAATTATTTAATAAATTATGTCGTGCTCATTTATTTATGAACAGAAAATAACAGATTTTATGTTTGATTTTGAAATATTGTAATATTTTTATTGAGAATATAGATTGGGAAATAATCCCATGAAACATAATTATATGAAACTATTGAATAAAAATACATAGCTTAAAGGACCCTAGACAATCAATTCCAGACATATCTTCGTAACAGGTAGCACACACTATTTTTCAAAGATTCCAAGAAAAGTTTCGAAACATACCAAATTTGTTGACTAATTGAAAGGTTTTTATTGTCAATGTGATGAAAGATAAATGTAAATATGAGAATTGCAACTGTTTAAACGTCATTTATCCTCATGTTTCAATGAATTGGGAGTGTTCAAATTGACATCAGCATGATGGATACTTCATTGTGTGTGTAGAGTCGTGGAGTGGGGCAAGCAGCATACAACTCAGAATGGTACCACGCATCCCCTGCAACAAAGCGGAGCATAAGTATCATTATGTTGAGGTCCGTTCGCCCAGCAAAACTCACGTTTGGGAAATTTGCTCCACTTTCTTTAGAAACTTACGGCTCAGTAAGTACCTATGTTTTAATTGTAATCATATATAATGTTTCAATCTAATTCCTTTTCATTTGAGTATGCAATATATAATAATAATAATAATAATAATAATAATAATAATAATAATATTTAAAACCAATGTAACCATAATTCAAAATTTCTCTTTCCAGATTCTACAAATATCATACACATATTTCACAGTGCTCAATCGTTTAAATGAATAAAAAAATAGTGCTGGTGTAGTTTTGTGTATCAATAGGTAAAAGTTTTACAAATTTACGATCACACCATAAACACGCAAGAAATTAACATGCTCAATAAAATGTATAAGTATACGTCATATTTTCTGATTCTACCATTTATTAAAATATTTTGCATTGGCCAGTCAACAATTACTTTCATTTCACTTCATTTCTGAGTACTTTGTTGGCAAAATATTTCACAGTTTAACCGTTATTTTATTGTTCGCAAATGTGTAGTTTTAAATATTTTAATTGGTATTCGAAAAGGCTAGTGAATTTAGGGTTCTTCTTGAATTATGTTTGTGAAAAATAATACATTCAAATCTTATGCTTTGAAGTGTTTCCATTCCTTGGTGTATAACAATCATGGAGACTTTTACTATGTCAAAACAAAAACTTGAATTATCCATCAAAATTCATAGTTATTATTTTATTCTCTTGAATAGATCAGTATTTCATTTATCAAATCCAATAAATCTTGACAAGTGATGTGTCATTATAAATGAAGATTGAACACTTTCCTACATTTATATTTACCAAATACTCTTGATTTTTAATTAATCATTTAAAATTCACGGGAATGAATGATGGTGAAGATAGACAGGAATATGATACCTTCAGGAAGGAGAAACCCTGGAAGATCGCAGGAAAGATGGAGAGATCTGCAGTCAACATCTAGTGAATCCCGGAATGAAGCGTGAAGAAAAACAGGTGTACAATCTACATAAAAGAAGAAGAAGAAGAAGAAGAAGAAGAAGAAGAAGAAGAAGAAAAAGAAGACGACGTAATGATTGACGCGATTCTTCTCTTCTTGACACGTTCAGGCGAATTAATATCAGAAACAGTACTACGACCTTTGAAGCTCGTTTTTGAGATAGTTTCTAACTTACACGTTTGACAATCTAAGAGACTTACATATGAGGAGTATCCGAGATTTTTATTATTTATGGGGGGTAAATCAAGCTGATATGCGATAAATTCTAGATGAATGTTTTTATGATTCCGCTCCTTTCATGAGTTACGGCTGACTGGAAGTTCCATTCATTACACTCTATTTTAGGCTCTCTCTCAGTACAAGACACATCTCACACTGAGATACATATTACATTTATTTTACCATTATATGTTAAATTAAACATTTTTTCATAGGACAAAATGCATTTCTGCGTTTAGATTCTGATATTAGAATATCTTGCCTTCATGAACATTTAAAATTGAAAATTTAACATAACGTAACATAATTAGCATCACTGAAGGCATACACACAATTAATTTTTTTTGTCGGCATGAATCTTTCGCTTCCAAACGACCAAACATCGTTCGCTTCGGGCCCAACTTATTGGCGAAACATTGATGCCTATTAGCCTCGGATCTTTGTAATATAATGCCATCTATTCATTGAATAATGTATTTACAAGAACACCACAGCCATATCTTTATATTTCTGCTTTATTAATGCATTATACACATAAATATTGTATTAATGAAATAAAATTTATTTCTGTTATCACCTTTTCAGTAAACTCTACAGTTCTCTGCCATATGTAATTCATTTTTTTAATATTTTCATTTATTATCACAATAATTGATACCATTTTCGATACATTGTATAATTCTCTTATTATATGGCCGCAGTTAGCTGTTCAAATTAAGTAATATCAAGTAAATATTTCAAACGTCTAAGGTATGTACGGAGGTAAAACATTATCACTTTTTGTCAATGAACGTAAAGTGTAAAATTCCATGCAACGAACTTGGTGATAGTATTGGATCAATTACAAAAAGTTTAACAATTAACAATTGAGAAATAATTAGCCATTGATCGTCGTTCTAGTAAATATTTCTATTGAGTCGATCGTCTTTTAGAAGGGCGGCAAACTGATTTGACTAAATTGTCTAGGCACGTGGCGTTGGCTGAACCCTGCACGCCAATTGTCTCGTAACAGTTTATTGGAAATGTGTAACTTCTCGTAGTTACTCTTAGGCGGAGTAAAATTACTATATGAAATTCGATGTAATAGTTATTAATACATTCCTACAAAGTTTAGGAGGCTCGCTCGTTCCTTGTTCGTGGTTAAAATATTTCATACTCGTGTATTCTTATCCAACATTACATTAACGTTTCATAATATACTATTATATGTGTAAATATCGCTATGCACAAGAATATTCACATGAATTGAGTTCTCTATATTTCCGAATACTGTAAGTGATGAAAATAGAAGCATAATGTTATTTCAATAACTTCTAAATAATTGGGTTATATTACAACCGTATGATATATTAAAATCAATTTACGAAGAACACAATATTTAAATATTGCATGTCACCTTGTGCAGGAGATACATAATAGACGGTCTTGTTCAAAAAGAGGCTATACAAAGAAAATCTTTTGATTCCAGCCAACCTTTTGTTCTGTGTCCATTTGTCCTTTTAATACAAGAAGACCTGAGAAGCTTTGCGAAGAAGCGATTTTCTCTCCCAGGCCCATTCATTTCGGAATCGGGGCTTCTCGTAGATGGTTCTCGAGGTAAGTCACTATTCTCGATTTGAGGAAGATTGAGTTTAATTTTTAACAGAGTAAAAAACATCACATCATTAAAAAACAAAATTATTTAATCTGGTAAGATCCAACTCGATACCATTGATTACATAACTACATACATAATCAAATTCTTACAAAAGAGCCCGCAGCTTTCTCTGCTTTAATTCAGACTAATTCGTCTGTCTGTACATTCCGTAATATCCAGGGACATAAAAGAACTTTCCATGAAAAAAATCAATATTGTTCTTCAAGCTCAAATGTGGATAGAAGAATACCACAAGTGCTAAAAAATGAAATTTTGTTACTTTGAAAGCAAAAATATAGTTCGAAAAATAATTCGAAAAGTTCAATAAGTCTTTTACTCAATATTAGCTAAATGTGGCATCGCTGTTGTTCTAAACTGTTTTAAAAATATGTTCATGTGATGAAAATGAATAGCTTTCTTCATAAAAGTTCTTACAGTATCTGGCTGTGCACATACCAATTAATAACTAATATTGTTAATCTTCCGTTCAAATATTTCCAACGTCCAATGACCTTGAATGTTATATCCATACGGGATATGAACCAGTAATTTTGCAATAGCTATACAAATACTTGCAGGTATGGATGATGCAATTACTTAGAATTTATTTCAGCTTAATTTGTTACTCCATTTTTGCTAATAATCACAATAATTCATTTAAAACGTCATCTGTATACTGTTCTTCAGTGTTATTCTTTAATTCTAATATATTTTTAATTTAGCATGATATAGTGTTTTGTAATTTTTGTGAATGTGTTGTTTACTGTGTTAGTGATAAGTGCTTGTCTGGTTCATTTTGAGTCCAATTTATGTCCTAGATACTTAACTAGTGTTTAGTTTGGTAGCCATCGTATGGGTGTGCTTTGAATGTGAAAAAGTTGAATGTTTAAAAAATTGTAGTACCGTACGTAATTGCAGCACACGTCACTTATTTCGTTGTATTTTGTTTTAATTTCCGTTGTTTCGTGCAACAAACACACGCATTTATTGCATTCAGTACTACATCTACTAGCATGTACTGTGTCGTTGTTCCTTGAAGCTTTGTATTAGGGCGGTCTAGTCTTTCAAAATTCTATGAAGTTATATAAAGTAAAATATAAAGCTAATATAACTCTATCTTGCATTAACGTTTTTGTTTTCTTCCAAGAAATAATAGCTAAGTCATGTGCGTAGGAGTACTTGGGATAGCCAAAGATCCCAAAAAGCAGAACACTGTATGTCTATCGAGGAAGTCCAAACCATTTAGACTAAAAATAGTTACGAATTCACTTAAGTTCATATCGTATACGTGTGTTAAAGTTGACTTGTATTAGGCTGTGATTATACATGTGCGAGTATGTTGCATTACGGGGATGACAATAACCTTTAAAATTGTGTTATTAACACAGCTAAAAATGAAACTATATCGATAGTTCATGTTTTAAAAATAGTGAACATAGAAAATGAAAAAAAACAAGAGTAAAGATCGAAAAACGATTAAGACTTTGTTTAGTTTAACCCTTGATGGTACACTCAGAAGGATGGGTGTCAACCAACCCTCCGATTGTGGTAAATTATATTACGAATGAGAATGTAGAAAAAGCTCTCGTGCATTTTAAACCAGTTCTTTGTTAAATATTTACTGGGTCAAGAAAAACGAAATTGGCCAATTTTCACACTGCCACCTCGTGTCCTCTGTCATATAAATATTTTTATTAAAAAACGTCTTATATAAATTTTCCTACTAACCGTACAAATTTGTACCATCTGGAACAAAGGAAAATGACTTTGTAAATACTAAAAAATTAAAAACTGTAATTAATTGTTTGTGGCAAACTTGAATTTTTAACGTTTAAAAGCAAAAAATATTAGCCTATTTATCTTACCAACAAATAGTTTTACTGCAGTATATTTTACCGCAGGAAAAAGATCGTTCTTCAGCGGTTGTAGTGAGCAAACGCACTGAACGGGTCTGAATGGGAAGGGGCGAAAATGAACGAAAAGGCCGGTGGCAAGATATCTGAAGTGAAACGATATAGTTGCGGAAATAGTTTATAGAGATGCGAAAATGAATATATATTTGGATGAAGTAGATGAGATTTAACATTTGTTTGTTAAGAGGAAGAGTATAGAAGTGTAGAGGAAGAGTTATGTAGAGATGTAGTGTAGTATATTGAATGCATTTGAAGAGGAGGGTGAAAGTGGAAAGATGGAAATGAAAGGGAATAAAGGAAGTGTGAAAGGAGAATGAAGACGGATGCAGGTAAGGGAGGATGAATAGGTAGTAAGAAAAGATGAAGTGGAATAGTAGCGAAAAAGAGGGTAATAAAAATTGATTAAGAGAATGTAGCCATGAGTCAGTGTTTTAGAGAGATATTTTATGTAGAAAGAGGAAGAATATGAAGGAGTAACTAAGAAATGACAAAGAGTTAT